TCCCCAGATCTAAGAATATATGAAAGACTTCATCCTGAAGAGATTTATTTTGAATTCAACTTGTGGCTTTTGGCACATATGGATAAATTTTGAAGTGATAAGTAGGGCTAAGAGAAAATCGTGGAAATAGTAATGTTTAATCGGGGAGACCTGCGTTGAGTTATTCATTCTTGGCCTCAAAGATTGAAGTTTCGAATAATTGTTAAAAAAAAACAACAGGAGTTACCATTAAAATTATAATAATTTTTCATATTTAGATCAGAGATTATGCATTCGATACAAAAATATCCTTACTTCAATTTCCTCGCCAACAGATCAATCATTTTGACCAATATAGAAAATTATATCTGTGCTTATTGGCCAGTGGGTAAAAAGTCGCAGTAAACTGCTTTATTGCTTCCTCAACAAACAGATCTTAAAACGTCTTTCTAATTACCTCGATAACCCGATAGAGGTGAGGTTGAAAATCAGCAAGTAATGGTCATGTTACCTATTGCTTTTGGTAGAAGGTTTGTGACTATTAGCTAAATTTAGATTATCCCAAATCTTGCACTAATCCACACGTCTTCTATTCGATATTGTTATATAACCAAACATAAGAACAGGGTCCCAACATATAAAACGAGCTGACATCATTCCCAAAGAAGCATGTAAAAACTTGACAATATACAGGTTGTCTCTAAAGGCTGGATACAGGGAAAATGCATATTTTCAAGAAATTAAATTTTCAACAATATTTTATTGAATTGGAATATTAACAAATAACATTTTAATACGATTTCTATCATTTGTGATGCAAAGGTTGATGCGCTTTGCAAGATTCACGTGAACTCGATAGAATAACTCCAGATTGCCGTCAATTTTAGCACATTCACTCTTTATGCATCCAATCAAGTGTGTTGCATCTGGGATTTTCATTGAGTACATTTTCTCTTTTAGCATAACCCAGAAAAAGAAGTCTTCTTTCAACAAAACCCTGTTTAATCTGTGGAGGTAAAAAAATATAGTTAATGAGATTTCCTATCTGTCCAGATTTAAGGGACATTCTGTATAATAAATATTTTGCATATATTAAATTTATTATTATTTGATTTTACTTTTGACTAATTAGATAATATTTAATCAATTTATTTTATGCTTGAAATAATTTAAATTTCTAAGCTTATATATTATTTCTGAATGAAGGTTATCTAGAAGGAAAACTCGTTCTGCATAGAAGGAAGGGAAAATACAACTCTAGATTTACATCATCTCAGCTTAATGGTTCATGACAAGTTAACACTTGGGTTTAAATTAACTTTTGTAGCTTGAGATAGACTTGTGGGCTTGAGCAGACATGGATAAATTTGGCACTTTTGATGAAATCAGAAAACTAGTTAGAACCTGCACATCTGTGTTCTTCCAATGACTGACGGATTTCAATCAAAACTATTTTGACACACTAGATGGTGAAAATCCCAATTTCTTTTGATAAGAAAGTAAAATATATTTTTGATACATTAAGGATTCATTTCTCATCTTGTTTATCAGTGAAAACTCAGTGATATAGCCAGCAGCCATTTTCTTCCATTTCTTGCTTTGAACATATTTGCCAAACGTGTTGAAAAGTATTTCAACTTTGGTTGCTATTGATCTGAGGCTTATGTTTTTATGCGTAATTTGCTTTTTTGCACTTATTGAATATAATCATAAGATATTTTACTTTTATAGTTTTGAACCATATTGGAATGATCTGAAAAAAACATTTGACGTAAGGCACCAGTTCTGGATCAGTTGCCTACTATTACGAATAAGGCTATTATACCTTAATTTGTAGTTTCTGGTGAGCCAATATCTGCACTGGAAAATCTGCAACTTCTACGGGAAGAAAACTGAAAGAAACTGGTATGAACACCACCCAGACCCGGTTACGGAGATAGGACCTGTTACAATTCTATGGGATTACACAATACACACTGACAGAACAATCAAGGCCAACCGGCCAGATATTGTTATTAAAGACCACAAACAAAAACGGTGCCTCCTTATTGATATGGCAGTCCCTGCTGACTGCAATGTATCTTTGAAGATATTCAAAAAGTTGTCAAAGTACAAGGACCTTGAAATGGAAATCTCGAAAATGTGGCATATGGGAACATCAACAATCCCTATTGTAGTTGGAGCCCTAGGACTGGTTGGGAAAGATTCCAGTAGACTAATTGAAGGGATTCCTGGAAGTCCATGCCTCAAGGAGATACAGAAAATTGTTCTGACAAGTACAGCCCACACCTTACGAAGGGCTTTATCTATGTAATTCTTTTTTTTTTTTTTTGTCAGTGGAAAGTGTCATGACGCCATTTCTAACCTTAGGTCCCTGGGCGTGACCCGGAAAGAAATGTGTAAACGCCAGAAATCAAAGAAAACAATAATAATAATAATAATAATAATGATAAAACGACTATCTATACACCATATTTATCATAAAACCCAGGTTGTGTGTGTGTCTGTTCGTTTATATATTGATCGGATTTCCTTATTTTTTCAAACGATTTCAAATAAAAAAATCACTTTTTTTTTTTTTTTTTTAGTGTTTATTGTTGTATTTGCACACTTTTTTTTTTATTTTTACATTCAGAATGCTTTAAAAATTCCGTTTACAAGGCAATTGTTTATAATAAAATTCTATTCAATCGGTAGACTCATAACGATTGAAAACAATGTTTTTGTTTGAGTTTAACCAATTCGTAAAAAAAAAAAAAAATTAATTAAGACATGCGTCAAACCGTCAACCTTAAACAATAATCTTTGTCAATGTTAGTTTTCAGTCTTTTTGATGGTCGATATTTGATCTATCTCTTACTGTTACATCTCCGGGCAACGCCGGGCTCTACTGCTAGTAAATTATAACAGGAAACTTTATGTTTTCTATGAATAAAAAGTAATTCAAAAATTATTTTATAATGGTGTGTAAATTTTCTAAAAGGGGTTGAATGGTGAGTTAGTGTTAGTTATTTAGTAATGGATCGATAAATACCAATTGCATTTCAATGCTAATTTTGTGGTTTGCAAAGCCATTTTGTCAATGTTAATACTATTAAAGTGAACGAAAGACCGTTTGCTTTCATTTAATAGTCTATGTGCTTAAAAAAATAAAATAATATCGAAGCCATGACTAATTTGAAAAAACCCAAAACATTTTGCAAGTGTTAAAAAGCAACGTTTTCTCTGAAATCATCGAATTTTGATTAGTATCAATAAAATATTTCAATGAATATCTGACTTTTATATTCATGGGAAGATCAATGTGTATTCGCTTTCAAAATAAGAAGCATTTGCCACATTCAAGTCAAGAAAGACATAAAGACGAAATCTACAAATCCATCATTAGTTCTAGAAATCTAAAAAATACATTTAAAATGCTGACATGAAATGGAAAAATTATATTAAATTAATTGCTAGGTTTGCTACTAGAAAAGTTGGTTATTTTGCTAGACAATTTTTCTCGCCAGAATCTATCTTACATATATAAGTTTACCATTAGTCCATTGCTGCCACATCTGGTCTGGTGCCTCTGCTATATATTTAGAAATTATTGATAAAATCCAAAGAAGAAACTACAATGTTATTGGTCCTGACCTGGTACCCCGTCTTCAGTCACTTTCCCAATGCCGTAATGTAGCTTATCTGTGACTTTTCTGTAAATATTTTCATCGTAATTGTTCTGATGATATTTCCTGTATGTTATCTAGACTTTATGAATTTAAACGCAGTACTAGATTGGCGGTAAGGTCTCATCATTTTACGGTTGAAATGGCTAGATGTAACCGTAAGTTCTCTGCTAACAGTTTCTTTTCTCGCACTTCTCGCTTGTGGAACTTTCTTCCGGCTTATTGCTTTCCAGCCAACTTTGAACTTCAAAAATTTAAATGCAATGTTAATCGCTATCTACTGTCTTCTTGATTCTTCTTTTTCTCCGACCTTAATAATGTTTCTCCTTTTTTCTTATTATTTCACACTCAGTAGCTCCTTGTGTTTTATGGCTTTATCGCCTTGTTTGGCGTAAAATGATTAAAAAATATGCAAATTATGTTGGTACACAATTCTTGTTATTATTTTTTATTGAGAGAGTTAGTACAGTCAGTGGGGCAAGTTGATAGTTTTTTTTCTAATAAAGTAGGAAGTGAAGATAAAAAGGATGAATAACAATTGATCCTTGACTTGAAGAAGTTAGGGTTGTAATGCTGGAGTCTGTTCCACAAAGGAGCAGTTCATGGGAAGTGAATCTTTCTTTTCATATCTGGAATACGGAGGAAATGACCATGATTCAACTCCATGGAAGTAACAAGGTGTATCCTAGTTACAAAGGTCTGAACTGGTGAAACTAAATAATAGAGCTTATAAGGGTGTTTGCCATGGAAACGGCAAAAGAGTAGCGAAAGTTTTACAACATTGTATCTGCCGGAAATAAGTTTTTGAGCGGAGAGTATGTCATCGCCCACAAGACGTCGTAAACAATTTTGTACTCTATCAAAGATGGAAAGTGACGACTGTGTGTGTCCAGTTTAAATATGGTAGCAATACACCATTTTGGTCTTGTTCCACTCGGCTTAGAGTCGAAAGATAAATTATATGAGACTGGCCGCTGAAATGTGAAACAACGCAAAAATGACGCGAGATGGAGTAAATTTAAAAACTTTATTCAAAATCTCCGCTGGATCCGTTTCGTTCCCAGCATTCACTGATGGGACCGGAAGTGATTACAATCATCATAATAATCAACATTATTGATGTTATAACAGGTCAAATCTGACTATAGTAAAGCTAAAACATGGTAGAAGGAATCATATACTTCTAGAAGTGATAGAATGGATCGATCATTTTGCCAGCACACTAAGTTGCTCGATCTTGTACCAACCAACCCAAAGATATTTTCTTTTTACTCGTTCCAAGAAAAAAAGCTCTGAGAGAATCTGCTTGAAATTCCACACAATTCATTGTCACTTTCGTAAACATAAAGGCGTGTAGCTATATCACATTGAAACACCGATTCTCGTACGATTACCGAAGTTAAGCCACGTGGAACCTGGTCAGTACCTAGATAGGTGAACACTTGGGAATACCAGGTGCCGTATGCTTGGATGTGCGGATGGTGTAATAGATAACGGCTTGGAATTGGAAATCGGAAATCCGAGTTCCATTTCCACTCAGGTTTATTTATATCCACTTGAGATGATATGAATTCACCTCTTCTCCCCACCGCTATGAGTTAATTATTAGAACTTGTATCCGTAAATAATTATTATCACCCACCCCCGACAAAACATTGTTACATTCTTATTTACTGGCTTTAAATAAACTGCAAAAGTTTGATAACACGTAAAAAAAAACAAAAAAAACAAATCAATCATACGTCGCTATTTCGCTAAAAAGAGCATACCCTGATGAAAAAAGGCCTCAAACTTGATAAACAATTTTTATCGTTTAAAAATGTTTACGGTAAGTATGTTTTGATTATTTTTTTTACATTTTTAATCCTTCCTAGCACGTCCGAAATTTTAGTTAAAAATCTTCTTTTTTTTAAGCAGTAAAATTGCCATAAAATCTATCATGTCCGACATTTTTTGACAACTTTGTAAACAAAAGTGAAATTCTCCGTTTATAAATCTTATATTATTCAATTATATTTTTTTTCCAAAGCTAGTTGGGGAAAATTAGAAAACTAAAGTTTACTTTGTGTAATTGGAAACAAACATTACTTAAAGGTCAGCGGAAAAAAATTTGGTTGAAAATAAGAGAAGCATGTCTAATCATGGTGGTTATCTTTTTTTGGATGTGTGAATTGACGTTTATGTCAATGTATCGAAAACTAACGTCAGGACAATTTATCAGACGTTAGGACAGAACTAAGTAACAGTATTTTCAAATTTTAACTGAACATGCTTATTTAACTATAAAGTATTTTAAAAAAAATTAAATACTTTCAAAAGTCTAATATTTTATTGATTTATTTAGGCACTTTTTTTTATCGAAAGCCTGCACGGTTTCCGTCCCTAAAACTGAATCTAAAAAAGAAAATAATTTATAATTGCAGTATGTCCCTCAATGAAAAACAATAAATTATTTAAACATAAACTGCACTATCATCAACTACATATTGCAACATGAACTTGTCATGTTTGTTATCGAGAAAAAGTTAATTACCTGAGTGGAAAAAAAAAACACAGTGATTCAAAATAAACACAGAACGAAAGTAGTGGAAACTTTTCTATTCAAAACGAGGCTAAGAACGGCGCCATACAAGTATTAAAAACAAAATTGAAAAACGATTCAGCCGAGTTAATGTACTAACAGACGGTCTCTTCTAATTGTTAAAATTTAAAAGGAAGCCTAACTGCTAACTTGAGATTCTTTTCCTAATTTTAGTTTAGATAATTTTTTACGCTCTTTTCTCCGCAAATCATCAGCGCTTTTTAACTACTTTTTTTTCTTATCTTTTTTTCTATTTTTCTCAGTCTGTCAATTACTTTTTCTCTTTCGTTCTATTTTCTTTCACAGTTGTGTTTTCTTTTCTTTGATTTCAACACTTTCTTCTTTTTGTTCTATTACTTTTTTTTTTTAATGTATTCGTTATTTCTTTAGTTAATTATTTTTCACCCTTTCTCACTTTCTTTCTTTTCTTTCTTTCGTCTCTTTCTTTAATTTCAGTTTCTCTTTTTCATTTCTTTCTTTTTTTTTCGCCTTTTCTGCTTTTTTCCCCCTTTTCTTTCTTACCTTCTCTTCTTTCTCTGTCTCTTTCTTTAACAATCGTTTTCTGTCACATTTTTCTTTGGTCTGCAATTTTTTCTCATTTATTTTACTTTGACTTTTTTGATAATCATCTACTTACATCTTCTTCTTCTTTTCTCTTCCTCCTCCTTTTCTTTTCATTGTGTTTTTCTTTAATTTTCTCTTTATTCTTTCTTTCTTTCTTTTTCTTTCCTCACCCTCCCTCATTCTTCCTACTTTCACTTTTAGTTTTAATTTTTTTCCTCAATCTAGTACTTGACCCAAATCAATCCGTTAGGCAAAGCCCAAACTGCTACACTCACACCCATTACTCACCCACCATCAACACTCTCCTCCACACATCCACACTTTCTTTATCTACCCACTTCATCTTCATTTCCATCATTTTAGACACATGCTTTCTTCCTTCACCACGAGAACAGCCCTGATCCAAACAATTCCTGACCAGCTTCTCCTCTTTGGCTCCAAAACCTCAATCACATGACACCATTACTGCTCTAATTTCCCCCATCTATTCGCTTTCTCCTTTTACAGCTGAAGTTAATTTACTGCCACCATATTATTTAAGCATGAACACCATCACTAGAACCTCTACCATTACTATCTCAACCACGACTATTAACATCACTACTACCCACATGATTGCAAGCCCTACTGCAAAATATACATGGCATATTCTAAAACCTTGTGCAAGTCTTACTAACACTATGACCACTGCCATTATTACAATTTCCACGCCTCAAGCACTACCTGTACCATTTTGACCATTCCTCTATCTTCCATATTCCTTTTCTACTTCTCATGTGACATTATGGCCTCTTTCCACACATTACCCCTCCACCCAACATCAATATTATTCACACTTGGCAAAACAATTATTTCCAATCAAGGTGGAACAGGAGAGAGATCTAGTATTAATGGACACCAGAATAAGCAATAAAGTTTACTGGTTGGCTTCTACTTAGAGAAGTGGGCCAGTGACATCCAGGTTACTTGTCTTATTTGAAAACCCCCAGATGGAAAAGAGAGGGGATGATGCTCCAAGCAGGCAGAACAAGAGACAGCTTTTCACACTCACAGACCCCAACCAACATCTATCTTGTCATCCCTGCCTACCAAACAAAACCAAAACAGAGCAGGCTAATCAATAAATCAGTCAATCAATCAAGCAATAATTTATTGATAAAATATTGATAACAATGACAATGATGGCCATGACCTGATTGAAATGGGATCATAGCTATAAATCTAAGAACTTGATCATACAGTATGCTTGTCAGGGATTTCCTTTACAGTTCTTGTAAGTCATTCAATTTCAAGTTCAACTCTTTCAGGACTTTCAGTAAATGTGGCCTTGGACTAGATTTGATCATGTCTAAATATAACAATGTGTTAGTACTTTTTAGTCAGTTCCAATCAAACAGAGACACTCTGAGAATAAAGTATATATTCAATTATTAAAGGGAAATTTAATATTTTAAATGATTTTATCTTTTATAGACATTGTTTATTAGATAAAGTGCATGTAACCAGAAGTCATTATGTCAAAACTGTTTAATAACAGTTTAAATGAAACATTGTCGATTTTGATTTGGTAATAGACATACTAAATACAAAAAGGGGATGTTGAGCCTCTATGTTATATATATATATATATATATATATATATATTTATTAAAGACATTTTTTATGTTTAACGTTGTTATTTATAGAAAATGTCTTTAATAAATAAATTGTCGGACCTTGTCCATTTCTTAATATATATATATATATATATATGTGTGTGTGTGTGTGTGTGTGTGTAATTCTTTTTTAAAATTGAAAAATTTGCTTACTGTAAATTAATTTATCAGAATTTGATTATTAATATCCAAACTATGCAGTTTCATGGTGTTGCTTCACTTGTCAAGGGTTATTTTGATAAAATTTATATCTATATCTATATCCCTATCTATCTATCTATCTATCTATCTATCTATCTATCTATATATATATATATATATATATATATATATCTATATATATATATATATATATATATATATATATATATATATATATATATTCATCTATATATATATATATATATATATATATATATATATCAAAAGTACATATCTTGTGACTGAGTTTAAGTTTTGTATATAGACAACTTCTCAGGATCAGATAAATGTATAAGAATGAAAGACTGCAAACCTCTCACTGCTCTATCACTATTTTCATGGAAAATATTCAGACAAACTAGATGCCTTACCTCCATCAGTCTTAACCTTCATGGCTAAGATGTGCCGTCCTACACATATTGTAGCAAACCACCTTCATTTTCTTAATATTCCATTGGCAAGATGTTATACTCAAGCAGCTACTTCTCACAAACCACTGTTTTGTGGAACCGGCTCCCAAGAGGATGTTTCCCCAATCACTACAATCTTAACCAGTTCAAGTTTAAGATTAACTTATCTTCCCTACATGTCCACATAAACTGTGCCTCTTATTCTGTAACCAACAACCTCAAGTGGCTCTCAGGCCTTGTAGATCAGGTGAGCATAGATAATACTTTAACAATTCTTAAGTGACACAGTTTCTTTTTACTTTGTTTTATGCTGATTAATGGTATATTGAGTCTAGCAACAAATATGGAACTTTTCCATTACATGATAATGCCAAATACTTTGACTCACAGCTGAAGCACTTAGGATATGAACATGTACACCTGATTTATCACTAGTTAACTGTCATCTTTGCCCATATTCTGTGTCTGTTCAAGATAAAAGAGACCAAAATCAGAAAGCTATTATTTTGTCTTTCAAAGGTTTTCTAATTTCTGAGAAGTGAGTTTTATAAAGGGGAGATATTTTCATTACAAATCTGTTGGGGCAGTGCTGTAGAATCAAATGAATTCCAATTTTTTTTGACATAAAAATAGAACATTGTTTAAAAATGTAGCATTTTATTTTCACCTGCATAATCAACCCTCCCATGTGAACAGTCAAATAATTTTGTGCATGCCACTTAGAAAAATGTTCAGGGTTTTTTTATCCCCTGTCACCACCATGATGATCACCCCTTATCATCACCAAGCCAGAAAATGTTACCATCATAATCATTATAATTACTATACCAATACTGTAATTACTACAAGTACCACTGTCATTACCAAAAGTACTATTATCATCACTACTTTTATGATAATGATCATCATCATTGTGTGCTTTGCTTTTGGCTATAATTAAGGTATTGTTGCTATTATTCTCATCATTAATTAAGGTATTGTTGCTATTATTCTCATCATTAATTAAGGTATTGTTGCTATTATTCTCATCATTAATTAAGGTATTGTTGCTATTATTCTCATCATTAATTAAGGTATTGTTGCTATTATTCTCATCATTAATTAAGGTATTGTTGCTATTATTCTCATCATTAATTAAGGTATTGTTGCTATTATTCTCATCATTATTAAAGGTATTGTTGCTATTAATTCTCATCATTAATTAAGGTATTATTCTATTATCATTAATTAAGGTATTGTTGCTATTATTCTCATCATTAATTAAGGTATTGTTGCTATTATTCTCATCATTAATTAAGGTATTGTTGCTATTATTCTCATCATTAATTAAGGTATTGTTGCTATTATTCTCATCATTAATTAAGGTATTGTTGCTATTATTCTCATCATTAATTAAGGTATTGTTGCTATTATTCTCATCATTAATTAAGGTATTGTTGCTATTATTCTCATCATTAATTAAGGTATTGTTGCTATTATTCTCATCATTAATTAAGGTATTGTTGCTATTATTCTCATCATTAATTAAGGTATTGTTGCTATTATTCTCATCATCTGTATCCCTGTTATCAGTGAGAAATGTATTAAGTCTATATTACTTATAATTTTATTATATTACTTTCAACTTTCTTTGGCTAGTAAAAGAGTTCTCAACCTTTGTATTGATAAGCACTGAATGTTTGTGCTCATGAGGTTGGAGTTGTCCATTAGGCTGTGTGACCAAAAATAATCATTTTTGTTGAAACCTTTTTCATAACAATATAGATTCAGCACTTTAGATCATGAATATTAAAATAAATAATAATTTTTCATTAAATCTTATGAAAGTTAATACAGGGGTTCAGTTTGTGATGTAAATTAATTGAAAATTGCTCCCCTGTAAAAGTCAAAACAAAACATGCTTATATCACATGATTTCTTAAAATTTAAGAAAACAATTCTTTTTTCATATACTGCTATCATAATTGCACTCCAGATTACAAATTTCAAAAAACATTTTATTTTTGTAAATTTGAAAAATTAACGTCATATGTTCATATATTGTTTTGGATTCTATAGGAGAAGCACTCAAAAAGCTAAGTAAGGTGCTGAGAAAGAGAAAACAATTCATTATCACACAAAGAGAAGAGTGCTGGATTGTTATGTGATATAAATCCTCTGATATGGCAGTGAATGCTAGACAGATCTCCCCATTGATAAGGGAAAAACTAGAGGCAACAGAAATGTGGTTCTACAGAAGGATACTGAAAATTCCATGGATAGAGTGAGTAAGCAACAAAGAAGTCTTAAAGAAAATGGCAACAGAAAGAACACTTCTACTCAGAATCAGGAAAAGATGGCTGAAATTCCTTGTAGACATAATTAGGAAAACTTAATTCTCAGTCTATAGAAATATGAAAAAAAAAAATTATTAGTTCTGGCTACATTGCCTCATAGGACATCTTGGGACTGATTTTTATTACATTCTCAAGGGAAATATATAAGTGACTTTTTCTTGACCATCATTGTCCATTTAACTATTTTCCAAACTTAGCTTAGTCTGGTACAAGGCTAATGTAATCAGGTACACAATACTTGTTCATGTAAGAGGGGTGCTGAAAAGATTTTGACCTGACCAAAAAGAGATTGCTAAAAAAGCTGATGTTTTGGTCAGATTTGAAGAAGTGAGTTGGGCTAAGTATTTTTCAACACCTCCTCATATTCGATGTAAGCATTTCAGAATGCACTGTTTTTATTATTTTTATGTTTTGTCTGTGTTTTTATTTTCTTTCCATGTCCTTTATATATTTACAAAGCATAAGCATAAGAGATAGAATGATTTTAAATGAGGTTAGCCTCTACAACTAGAAAATCAGCAGTGGATATCCTGATTTTTATCTCGGCTTGAAGAGATTTTTGCATCAGTTGGAAATATATCACTATTTCACCCATAAGGTAATATTTTTTTACCTGCCAAATCCTTCTTTGTTAAACATCTACAATTTATTTTTAATTTTATACAAATTTGGTAAAAGACCAATGAAAGTTCATTGTTATGGTTTTTGTCTATTCTTCAAATGACTTCAAATACTTGCAGCATTAAACATAAAAGACAACAACCCAACATCAATAAAAAATTTTATCAAATTTAAGAAG